CGGGGTGGGTGTGGGTGTCCCAGTGCACCCAGCATCACTGGGTGATCCCAGGCCCGAGCTGGGGAAGGGGGTGCAGGGTCCCTGCGTGGAGCAGGAGCCCACCAGCACCCTCACCCAGCCCTGCTGTCACCCAGCCCGGACCTCCACCCACACCCAGGGCCGTGCTGCTGGCCACTGACCCCTGAGCTGAGGAAGAGGCAGAGAAGGGTCATGCTGAGGGTTTCACTTGCTCAGCCATGTCCAGAGGGACAGAGGACAGACACCCCTGACCCCACGGCGCAGCCTCCCCACCCACCTATGGGTGCAAGGGTGCAGAGCGGTCCTGTGGCACCCAACACCCATCACTGCCGGGAGCTCTCCAGCCACGCTGCATCCCTGGGGACAGCCAGAGCATCCCCCGAGGGCCCTGGGGACCCATGTGAGGCAGCACCACAGGGCCAGAACCCACAGGGTTCTGATGGATGCACCCATCCAGCGCGGTGCGTCTCCCATCAGCAGGTGCCGGTGGGAGCCAGGATTAACCATCAGCTAATCCCTGCGGGGACGGCATCGGGGATGGCATCGCTACTCATCACGACATCGCTGCTTTGGGATTAGCTCCCTGGTGGGAGCCCCTTCCCACCCCTCCTCCCATGGGGATGCGGGCACGCAGCCGGGACCCCATGGCTCTGCTCTCCCCAGGGACTGCCAGGAACGACACCCACGGCCAAGAGCCCCAAAGCCCACGGCTGTGGCTCCATCTGTCCGCATCTGTGGGAAGGCAGCTCCCGCGCAGGGCTCCTTCCCGGGCTGAGCGTGCAGCGGAGCGCAGCTGCCCCCCGGAGCTGCCAGCTCGGATGAAGGCAGCGCCGTGCCATCCTCCAACCGCCCAGACAGCTCGGGCTTGGCCCCCTGGTTACTGCGGCTCCGTTCTGCAGATGGGGATGGAGGCGTGAGGTCACCCGGAAAATCGGGCTCAGCACTCAGCCCTGCGAGCCGGGGGAGCAGTGGTCATCACCCCTCCAAGCACGGAAGCGGGTGCCGGGGTCCCGGGTGCGGGACGGGCAGTGAGGATGGGTGCCCCTCGGCCCGCCGGGAGCGGGAGCACAGGGCAATGGAGGGGGCGGCTGCTCGGAGGGGCAAATGGGCACTGGCACAGCGGTTCGGCACAGACCGGCATCGTGCGCTGGGCTGGAGGGACCATGGCACTCCCACGGGAGCCCCCAGCCCCCACACAGGCGGGGGGCCCCCCCCCCCGCACCCCGCACCCAGGCGCGGGG